GGCTATCGAGCAAGCGAGGCAGCAAAGATTGCTAGCATACGATATCACGCTGCGACAGGCGCATCACGCTGAAGTATTGATCCGACCAACAGCCGTCGCTTAGCAACCAAAGGCAATAAATAACAGCAAGCAAGCGAGCTAGTGTAGAGATTTCGGTTACACCGAAGACTCTATTTCCAAACCACAACACACGACAGGGCGCGGCCATTTTGGAATAACTAAAAACCTGGATCGGAAAACCAGGTGACACCCAAATTCCACTAAAGAGATCAACGTGCACAAACAAATAAAGGAAAGGTCAAGCTATAGTAAAATACAGGTTAAAAGGATAACGAGTAAACAAGTAAAACAATAATTAGAATAGAATACGAATGGAAAATTACTCGGCCAGAGCAGCTGACGTAATCGGCCTAAATGCGGCACGGCGTGTAAACAAACGGCCGGTACGAGGCAGAACAGACCGGTATAAACAGGTAAATAAGCGATGCCAGCTGGAATACCCCTGCTTAGTACTAGGGGAAAGGGGAAAAAGCACGTGACCAGGTAGCAACCAGGCCGTATATAAGGCGGCCGAAAAGCCGTAGAAATCAGAATGCCGGGGGAAGCAGCCCCTAGGACAGGGGTGGGCAAACTGCGGCCCGCGGCCCTCTACGGGGTTCTGTGCGGCCCGCGGAAGCCTGCAGCAAATAAAAATAAATAAAAATAAAAATTAATTCTTTTTTTAAATCAATAAATTTTTGTGAAAGTCAACATGTTTGTGCTTGAACCAAGGCTGACTTTTTCAGTGTCATACAGATTAGTGTTCTATTGTCTCTGGTTCGCTCTGCAACGCCATTTCAGCTAATTATGGTCCAGAGATGGCGCCCTTGAGGCGAAACGCACGTATTATCTTAGAGCGCACCGCCCGATTTTAAAAGGTGCGGCTCTTTGACTTTTCATGGCCCACTGATGCGGCCCTCGCTTTGAAAAGTTTGACCACCACTGCGGCCTAGGAGAACCCAGGAGCACTCGGAGAACCAAGGAGCCCTGGCTTGCCTTGCCTATAGGATCACTAGGAGAACCAAGGACCACAGAATCAATAGGAGAACCAAGGAACACTGCTTGCCTCATAGGCTCATAGCCATAGTATCATCAGGATTGCGGGGAGCACCGCTACGGGACGCACCCCCCCCCCAGGATTACGCGGAGAACCGCTCCAGGGGACACTGACCCCGTAGAATCACTCGGAGCACCACAGCTACGGGACGCACCCCCCCCCTTAATTAGGATTACGAGGAGCGCTGACCCGATGGGGGGCGGCACCGACCAATAGGAGCACTCACACGGGGAACACTGACCCAGTGTAGAACTGGGGCAGTCACCGGGAAGCAGACGACGAGCGCAGTTCACCCTCCGGAGAAGAAAGAAGAAAGAAGAAGGAAGAGAGAAGAAAGAAGGAAGAGAGAAGGCAGAAGAAAGAAGAAGGAAGGGAGAAGACAGAAGAAAGAAGATAGAAGAGAGAAGGAAGAAGATAGAAGATAGAAGAAGGAAGAGAGAAGACAGAAGAAAGAAGATAGAAGAGAGAAGAGAGAAGATAGAAGAAGGAAGAGAGAAGACAGAAGAAAGAAGATAGAAGAAAAAAGACAGAAGATAGAAGAAAGAAGAGAGAAGACAGAAGAAGGAACGAGAAACGGCGCGACGAAGAGAGGAGGAAGGAGAACGCCGACAGCAGGTGCTGTTACGTCTTATTCCCACTCCCGACAATCTCAACAGATACGTCGGGTTCGCGTTCACGCTGAACGCACCTATATTTTTGCACGTAACCGTTCACTGGCCTTATGCCATAAAATATTATAGTTACGACAAATAGTACGTCACGCAGTCAGAGCACTCATAAGCGTGTATTAATTACGGCTAGATAGAGGCGATAATAAACGAGTGGTGTTGGCGACAAGCCAGCGCAAAATATATGAGGAGATGTCGATCAGAGTCGGTGTGCTCGACACAGCATGGGGGTAATAAGGGAAATAATAAAGGACATATTATAACCCGCAGCTAACGCACCGACGTGCCCGGGAGCGCGGAAGCCAGCCCGGGCAAAGCTGGACAAGTCGTGAGGTCGGACAACAAGCGCGGCCGAATATAAGGGAGGTGGGATTAGGCGAACGGGGCGGTTCATGTACGATGCAACATATATGCATTCAAATACAGACGTCTATATCATATATAATCTACACAACCTCTTCGACCAGAAATGGCTACGATCACCGACGAGGAGATAAAGTAACTACAGAATACCGGGGCTACATTTGGTGCCGCACCACAAGAACTGAGTATTCCTTTGCAACACAATGCAAGAAGATGAATCTACCGTGTATGATGCACGCGCCGAAAACTGAGTAAAGACAACGCAAGAAGAAGAAGAAGAGGAACAAAGAAGAAAGTAGAAATCAACATTGAGATGCGTGGCAGATTCCGCAGTGATGGTCACATTCGTTATGCAGAGTTTTGCCATACGGGCATTGCATAGGGAAATGCATACGAACAGTGATATGATGCGACAGAGAACGCACATATATATATAAGACAGAACATTCGCATAAGTACAACCTGGCTATCGAGCAAGCGAGGCAGCAAAGATTGCTAGCATACGATATCACGCTGCGACAGGCGCATCACGCTGAAGTATTGATCCGACCAACAGCCGAGTCGCTTAAGGCACCCCAGGCTTTAAATAAGCAGCAAGCAAGCCATCCCCTCGCCAACCAGTGTAGAGATTTTCGTTGCCCCACCGCAGACTCTATTCAAACAACAACACACGACAAGGGCGGCGCCATTTGGAATAAACATAAAAACCTGGATCGGAAAACCAGGTGACACCCAAATCCCACTAAAAGAAGCTCAACGTGCACAAAGCAAATAAAGGAAAGGCAAGCTCTATAGTAAAATACAGGTTAAAAGGAAACGAGTCAAACAAGTAAACAATAATTAGAACAGAATACGAAATGGATAAATTACTCGCGGCCAGAGAGCTGACCGTAATCGCCTAAAAGCGCACGGCGTGGTAAACAAACGGCCGGTACCGAGCAAGAACACAGACCAGATATAATCGTAAATAAGCGATGCCAGCTGGAATCCCCTGCTTAGTACTAGGGAAAGGGAAAATAGCACGGTGACGCAGGTAGGCAACCAGCCCGTAAATATAAGGCGGCCGAAAAGCGTAGA